AAGACTAAATTGGGCTAAAGGAAGAAGTTCAAGGTGGGGTGCACTAAACGCATTAGCCAAAAACAAGACTGCAGGGATTGATGGAATACAGATTTAAATGTTTCAACAGGCTGATGAAACACTGGAAATACTCACTCATCTATGCCAGGAAATTTAGAAGACAGCTACTTGGACAAATGCCTGGAAGAGATTCTTAGCTCTTTCATTCCAAAGAAAGATGACCCAACAGAATGCTCAAATTATAGAGTGATATCACATGCATGTGATATTTTACTGAAGATCATCCCACAGTGATTCCAGCAGTACATTGATAGGGAGCTGCCAAAGGTTCAGGCTGGATTCAGAAGAGGACCCTGTACAAGCGATATCATCGCTGATGTCAGATGGATCTTGGCTGACAGCAGAGCAGATCAGAAAGATGTTTACTCATGTTTCATTGACTATGCAAAGGCGTTTAACTGTGTGAATCGTAACAAACTATGGATAAACTTGAGAAGAATGGGAATTACAGAACACTTCCTGGTGTTCTTGAGGAGCTGAATGGATTAAGAGGCAGTTGAGGATATAGACCAGGGGAATACTGCTTGGTTTAGAGTCAGGAAAGGTGTCATTGAGGGTTGTGTCCTCTCACCATACTCTTTCAATATGTTTGCTGAGAAGGTAACCAGAGAGGGTGGATGATACAAAGAAGAATGTGGCATCAGGATTGGAGGAAGACTTATAACAACCTGCTATACACAAACGACAAAACCTTGCTTGCTGAAAATGAGGAGGACTTGAAGCACTTGCTGATGAAGATCAAGAAGTACAACCTTCAGTATCAATTACAACTACATGTAAAAGAAGACCACAGTTCTCACAACTGGACCAATAGGTAACATCATAAATGAAAAAAAAAAGTTGAAGTTGACAAGGATTTTGTCTTGCTTGGGTCCACAATGGGTGTTCCTGGAAGCAGGAGCCTTGAGATTAAATGATGCATTGACTTCTTTAAGGTTTTGAAAAGCAAGACTGCTACTTTGAGAACTGAGGTGTGTCTCACCTACGCCAAGATAATTCCAACTGTATGTTAAAATTGGACGTTGAATAAGGAAGACCGAGGAAGAATCAATGTATTTGAATTGTGGTGCTGACACATAATATTGAAATTACCGTGGACTGCCAAAAGAACAAATGAATTGATCGTGGAACAAGTATAGCCAGACTGCTCCTCCGAGGAAGGATGGTGCGACTTTGTCTCATGTACTTCGGACATATCAATAGGCGATCCTAGTCCCCGGAGAAGGACACCGTGCTTGGTAGAGGAGAGGGACAGTGAAAAGAGGAAGCCCTTCAAGAAGAGTAATTGACACAGTTACGGCAACAGTGGCTCAAACAGAACAATTGTGGTGGTGCAGGGCTGGGCAGTGCTTCATTCTATTGTATGCCAGGTCACGATGAGTCAGAACTGACTACACAGCACCTGGCAACAACACGTGTGCATGAGGTATTATTTATAAAGATATACAATGATCAAACAGAACGTTGTTCTTTCCTCTGGACCATTCACATGCAACAAAGCCACGGGAAGCTTTCCACTCCACTACCAAAGTATTGAGTTGGATGTCTTATAACACAACAAATTAAACTCTTCTTAAATCACATTTTCAGTGGCAAAATCTTCAAAGACTTTCATCTTAACAAATCCCTATGTGATAAACCTTGGAATCACTGTAGATTTCCAGTTCTTCAATCCAACAACAACATGCTTCATTCTACTTCCAAAGGGTATTTGAACTCTGACCACTGCCGAACTCCGCTGCTCTGATCCCGGTCAAAACGCCCTCGTCTTTTATCTGACTAATAGCCAAGAGCTCCTTACTCCTCATTTTGCTTCTCCCCTTACTACTGCTTTACCTTACTTTCAGTACAGCAATCAGAGTGATGTTGAAATTAAGACAGATGTCCCCTTTATCCAAAACTGTACAGTGCCTCTGCTTCTTACGCTTAGGAACTTACAGGAGCCGGCAGTCCTTGGGACCTCTGAGATCTCACCTGCTGTTCGGTCCCTTCTGGCTGCTGATGCCCCAACTACAATTTTAAGACCAGCTAAGACGACTCCCTCTTTTCAACTTGCCAAGTTCCCACTGCCCAGAGCACTCCGCCGTTAGGTACTTGTCTGGAACATCATAGTCTTTCAGTCAAACCTTCTTGAAGGAATAGCATTGTTTTTGCTGTTCTTGCTTGGCACCATTGGGTGGGTTCTGTCTCATAGTGACATTAGGCACAACACAAGGCAACACTGCCTTGTCCTGTGCCCTTCTGGCATCATTGCTTTGTTGAAGGTCATTGTTGTGGCCACTGTGCCTTCCCCCTTTTCACTTACCCTCTACTTTACCAAGCATGATGTCCTTCAAGGGCTGGTCCCTCCTAAGGCACGTCCAAAGAAGTGGGATGAGGTCTAGCCATCCTTGCTTCGGAGGACCATTCTTTCAAGTACTTCTTTCAACACAGAATGGAATAAACAGGGAAAAAAAAGTCCATTAATGAGATGAAATGGAAGCTCATCAGCTTCACAATCGTAATGTGAATTCTAGCTAAAATTCTTACTCATTTGATTTTTGTAAGCTTCTCCTGTGCAAATATCTCCTAAAAGTTTTATTTTCATTGTAGTGCATTGCATAGAAGAGTAACTTACGATGTATGTAATCATTTGTGGAATCAGATGTGGATAAAAGATACCATCAGTTCAATTCATTTCAACCTGTGTTTCACTGGTCGCTCTTAGTGCGGTGAGTTAAGTACTGTACTGCTAACCAAAGGGCTGGACCCCACCAGTCAGTTTGCTGGAGAAATATGTGGCCATTTGCTTTTTAAGAGTGCAGGTCTTATAGGATTGCTGGGAGTTGAGATCTGTTCCATGGAAGAGAATTTGGTTGATTTCTAGGAATTCTAGACTAGTTCCTACTTTTCAGAGGTATGGCACGTGCCCTTGGACCACTTGAAGGGGGTGTTGCCACTGAGCTGTTTCTATTAACCATAGTAGTGTCATCAACAGCAGTTAAAAGTCACCAGCAGCTCATTGAAGTTAAAAGTCACTTGCTGCCATTGAGTTAATGCCACTCATAGTGACTCGCTAGGGTGTGGCAGAAGTGCCCTCTATAACTCAATGGGAGTAGAAAGCCCTGCCTTTCTCCTGTGGAGCAGCTGGTGGCTTTGTACTGCGGAACCTAGTACTCGCCTGTTGGAAAGCCTTGAATGAACTTTTCTGTTGCAAGTGCTTACGGGTGCTCAGCCTCCACACCAAGTTATCTTAGTGAAGAAGGTAGGCAGCCTGGAAACTAGCTTCTCAGGATCCAGCAGGGTCTGTGTGCGGACACTGATTAGGGGTCTCTGGGTAGACACTGACTGGAATGTGATGGTCTAGAGATTTGGGAAAGCAGCCCCTGGGGGGGGTTAAAACACCCCCATTCCTCACCCCTGCCTGTGGAAGCCCCTGTCATTCTTCCTGCTCCCCCTGTGAAACCCCTTCTCAGCTCCGGGGGAGTATCACAGCTCTCCCGGCTTCTCTCCCTCCCCTCTGCATTGTCCCTAACCCTCGTTCCTGACTCCCAAAGGCTCTGAGGGGCAAGTGTGCGCTGGTGACGCCCCCGGGTCTCAGGTGTCCTGCTCCCCTGGAAGTGGTCTGGGTGTCAGACTCCAGCAGCCCTCTGGAAGCCTCCTCAGTTCACAAGATCTCGGGCTGCTCTGTGCAGTGACGAGAGAGAAAACAGCAGAGTGACTTTAAGACCATGGCCAACCAGTTTTTATCAGCGACGCAAGGGAAGTGCCATTGTCATTTCCGTGCCTTATAGGTGATGTGTTGGGCTGCTAACCATGAGGTCAGCAGTTCAAAACCACCAGCTGCCCCACGGGAGAAAGATGGGGCGTTTAACTCTCATAGTTACCATTATGGAAAGCCATAGGGGCAGTTCTACTCCGTCCTCTGGGGTCACTATAAGTCAGAATCAGCTGGATGGCAGTGAGAGTTTGAGCCATCAAGCCTTAAGGAAAAGATTAAGGAGCTTGAGTTGTCTGGTCAAGGGATCTGAAAGAGGAGGAGTGTCTGCTGTCTGGACAGAGGCTCAAGTTCTGGGCTCGTCCTGGGCTCTACTTTCTGTGGCCACACCTCTGGTACTAAATATACGTTTGCTCTAATGGTAACCTCTGCTACTGAGTAGCACCTGATGATGTGCATGCTTCTTCATGAAGGATTAGGTTTAACTGTAACTCCCTTTGCCATTTCTTTACATGCACACGTGTGTGTTTGTGTGTGTGTAAGAGAGAGAGAGAGAGAGAATTTAAATTTCAGACCTTGAAATTTAAAAAAATTAATCCTACATGAATATATTCTTTGCTTTACTTTCACTGGTGTGTTATGGTTGTGTGTGTTTGTGTTATTGTTTTATACTAATAAAACTCCAGTTTTTAGCTGGGAACATGATCACCCCTCGAGAAGCACGCATTTCTCAGCCTCTCAGGCAGATGACGGTGGTCTCTGGACAATGTGTTCACTCAAGGGGTGTTAGTGTCAGGTGCGTAGTGGAAGGACACCCTTTGCTCAAATTGCTTCCTGCTCCTTCATCCTTCCTGCAGCCTTGAGGCAGATTTGATGTGTGTGTGGGGTGGGGTGGGGTGGGGGGGGGGTGGAGTGAGGGGAATCTTGAATCCTGAGGATAAGCACCACATTCTCAGAGACCATGGGTAAGGTGGTAGGGGGTTAGAATTTCCTGAAGGAGAACCATCATTCTACTTGTTGACATTTTCCCTCAGGTCAAGCATTAAAAAAAATATCTTCTTTTTAAATATAAGCCACTGTTATTTTAGGACTCTGACAATCAAACATATTCCTACCTCACAACAACAAAACTGCCTCCTCCCTTGTACTCTACAGCTCAGAAGAGTGACTGCGGATACCTTTGTGAGAATCAAAACAATACAAAGTATTTGCAATGAGAATCAAATGTCTTTATTCTCTAGAATTAATTTCTTACAATCACGTTGAGAAAAAACTAGTGCATCCCCAAATCTCCTTTCCCGGGAAGGGAGCTGATCTGAGCAGACAGGTATTCTGAGTGATTGTGGCAAAAGCTTGCTTTTTACTGAAGAACAAGAGTTCCACTCATTTTCCATCTCACCCCCTCCCCCAGCACAAACGTAAAGGGAAGTCCATGCCCGAAGGAGGGGGCTGCTGTTCTCCTTGACGAAAACGTGAGAGAACAAGACAGTGTCTGACAATTCAAGATCCAAACCTGAGATAGCCGCCATCCCATTAAAAGAAAAAAAGGAAGAAAAAAGACTACCTAGAAATGAGGAAAAGTACAACCGTTTGTAAAAATGTCTTTCTGAAGAATGTCTTTTTCTCGTTATTGTTAATATTCTCTAGTCATTTGGAGGTTTATTTAACCAAGTAGTCAATCTGCTTAGCATTCAAATTTAGATGCGCTGATTAATTGCTCTACGCTTCTGAATGGGTAAGTACACTCTATAAATAAACACATCAATTTTGCTTTATTACCACCCTTCCAAAGAGCCTCACAGAGTGGGGATTAACCTAGTGTCTACTTATCATTAAATATATTTTTGTTAGTGAGAACACACAGCATGTGAGTTACAGGATTTTCAAGAGTTGAAGATAATTTTAGTACTCTAAATAATATTTACAGTGTAAACATCACAGTTATAGTAGAATAAAGGAAATCACAACATTCACAAAACAATATATTTGGCTTTGATGTTGAAGCTGTTTTCTTGAATACTTAGGTCGAACTCAAAATATAATTACTTTATAATTTTCCTTCAAGAATCCTGAAAAAGAAAGAATTGGTAAATTAAGCATCAAATTCAAAAATTATTTGCAGCATCTTAGCATCATTCACTCTTGGACTCATTTGATAAAGGTCTATTTCTCTTTGCCCCTTGAAATTGCGAACTGGCTTCAGCAGGGTCTGTGTGTCACAAGCACTGAGTGAAAGTCTCTGTGTAGACATTGCCAGGGACTTAATGTCTCAGTGGAGATACAGAGATTGGAAAAGCAGCCCCCGAGGAGTTTAAATCACCCCCACTCCCCAGGGAACCATCAGGGGCTATCAGGAGGATGTCATCCGAAGAGCAGAGGATCAGAAAACAACTAGAATGCAAAGGAGCTCATTAATTGGTTGTTAATAATGACCCATCAGGAATTTTTACCAAGACTTCCTGTTTGAAAACAAATTGTCCCACACCAAGATGTGGAAGAAACCCTGAGCACACAAATTGATGAACTTAAAAGAAAGAGTGGTTCTCTTTTATAGTTCAGTACTTCTTATATTTTTAATCAGAAGAAAGCTTCTTTTGATCTTTCCCTCCCAAGAAACTACTTGTAATAAGCTTTCTTCTTTTAAAAAAGGTACTTGACAAGGAATGGACTTGTTCAGCTAATGACCCGGTACCTCCCATAAAAGAGAAGGGGTCATCAGTGAACAGTCACTCCTGCAGGTGTCTTCCCGGCCCACCGCTCCACGCATGACGTCTTTGTGGACACGTTAATATCCAGAAATTCTGATAAGATGATGAACTGCCATCAGATGTCCTTTGGGGCTCTTAATCACCCAACCTAATTGAAGGGCAGTATCTGGACTGCCAAGCAGATTTTGAAAGCAAAGTTTTATTGGGACAGAGCCACACCCAGCTGCTCTCAGACTACAATAAAACCATAAAATTCATTCTGACTCATTGAAACCCCATATGACAGCCTAGTCTGACCGTAGCAGCCCTATAAAACAGAAGAACTGCCCCATATGGTTTCTAAAACTATAAATCTCCATCGTTCTCCTGAGGAGCTGGTGGGTTTGAACCATCAACCTTGCAGTTAGCAGGACAATGCTTAACTCACTATAACTCTAAGCCTTCTTTACACTAGTATAGTTAGCTATTTGAACACAGAACATATGATCCACAAAACTTAATATATTTACTCTGAAGCTCTGTAGAGAAAGAATTTCCCAACCTCTGATATAGTTATGGCATGAAATTTCTTTTAATCAATTGATAATCGATTATAACTAGATTGTTATGAACCAATACAAACAGTAATATAAACTAATTTTGAAACTAACCTATGTCTTGTGCTCATATGTATAAGAGGGTGCTCTAAAAAGTTCATGGAAAATTTCATTATCTTTTCATTCCTTGTTTCCACCAACTTTTTGAAGCCCCCTTGTATAAGAGCAATTTTGATAAGAAGCATATCACATCACAAAGGAAAAACACCCAACTAACTGTTGTTTTCACCACTCAAAAAATATTTTACCACGGATGCTAAAGGGGTGATAGTCCTTCTACTTGGAGGTCAAATAAACCAAACTTGAATTTTTCCTCCAAGGTGCACATTACCTTTCAAGGCATACAATTGGATCCCGATGAAGTATTTTCATGGGCTGTATTGACATTAGTTTTCCCTGTACTTCAATTAAATGAGATGACAACAGTCAATTGTGGGGCTAAATCCCAAATTAATAAAAACAACATGGCTTGATACTCATGAAGAAATCAAATTTTTCTCATTAGCGCAAGTCAGGCTCCTCTGTTTAATATCTCAACACCAGAAGAGGCAGATGTCCGAATCAACGAGAACTGTTCGGATACCAAACTCTGTTCAGTGTGAGCCTTCCCGCCTATAGGATCAGAACACAACATGAAGAATTTAGAGCTGTTAACTGGGTTGTGGGAGCCCTGGTAGTGTAGTGTAGTGGTTATGCAGCGGACTGCTAATCAAAAAGTCAGCAGTTCAAAACCACCAGCGTCAGGAGAAAGAGGAGGCTTTTTACTCCCATAAAGAGCGACAGTCTCAGAAATCCACAGGGGCAGATGAACTCGGTGGCAGTGCGGTTAACTGGGCTGGAGGAGTTCGTTTCAGGTCCTCTCTAGAGGACGTCTCTTTGTAAGGAATTCTTCAAGGCCAGACTACTTCCTGCCAGGTGACTCTCATCCACTGAACTAATTCGGTGGTTGCTATAAGAAGGCAAAAATGTACCCACCGCTGGGAAGCTGTCGGCAGCTTTGTTCAAAGAGCGCTTGCATCATTTCTCTAACTCTTCAGGGAAATTGAGAGATTCTCCCTCACTGCTGCAGAGCAGAAAAAGAATATTACATGTGTTGTGCCTCTTAAATAAGAAATCTAAAGAAATGGTTCATGAGCAACTTGAAAAGTTCGGGGACAGCACGTGTCTGGTGAAAGTGGTTGTGCTGGGGGAAATATAGTTGTCTAATGGGAAGAATGCAATCAACATCACTGAGCTGTCCATGCAGAAAATGTTGAATTTGTGTAAACTTTGCTGTGTATATTCTCAACAAAAACAACATACCTGAGATAAGAATATAGTTTTAAATGCAGATAAATGAGGTTGGTAGAACTATCACATGCTTTTTGTGTACAAAACAAAACCAAGTGAAAGACGATTCGTGTGACCCCGTGCTCTTTCTGTGTTCTGGGAAGTGTACTTGGGGGTCAAACAATGATATCAGAGGCTTGTCATTGTTGTCAGGGGCTGTGGACGTGGCCTTGCCTTGTAATTGTTCTCATACAGCATAAGGAAACACTGTCAGGTTCTGCACCACCTCACCATTGTTGTTACATGTGAATATTATGTATGAACACATTATTACGAATGAACTGATACTCAACCTTCAAATGTTTAAAATCATTTTCACGGAATTATGACCTGGTGAGCAGAAAGAGTCATCTTGTCTGATCTCGCCTAAACAGAATTATCCTTAAAGCTCAGCAAAAAAACAAAATCCAATAGAAAATGAGAGAAGTAACTCCACTTCCTAGTTACCCTGCACCACAGAGAGAGATGTCAGACGCAGAATCTGCAAACTACACAACTGGGTGGTTTCAGCTGGTCAGATAAGGGGACTGAAATGTACTCATGGAGGAAAAAGAAAACCTCAAAATTTCCATGAGGTGCAGGACTTTTCTTTCTTTCCCCTATCTTCCTCTTTTTTTTCTTTTTTTTTTAAACCTTTTGATTAAAGCTGTTCCCACATCCAGACTGGATGCCTCCACAGCAGTCATGCTCAGCCCAGGCGGTAGACAAGAATCCACTAAGACAATGTGGGAGCCCAACCCGGAGCCGCTCATTTCCTGGCGGGTGGATTTGGGTTAGACCCAGAGGAGTGTTTTTCCTAACCTGAGCCAAGGTTGAGAATTCCTGCTGCGCAGAGCATGTGGACACATGCAAACCCCAATGTTCCACAGTGAACCTCTGCCTGGAGGTTGTATTTTCAAAGCCATGTATAATTTCTCATGCTAGTAAGCTCTCTATTTATTTATTTTTTTACCTCCTCTTCCCATTCAGGATTGAGTTCAAGTATTTCTTCACAGCCATTTGTTTTCTAAGGCGGGTGTAGTTGTCAGTGAAGACGGCGTCCGAGTGACGTTTGATTGGCGCGCTGTCTTCTGAGATGTTACTGCTAAGGAAGGTGACAAAAGGAAAGATAAAATCTTTGTAGCGAGGAATGGCAAATGAGCCAATGTGTCACGTTGTTCGGAGTTGTGTAGAAAGCAATTCCAACCAATTCATGTTTGATCGTTAAAGAAAGGGAAAGACAAATATACTGAACCCAAGGCTAGAGAAATGAGCCCCGGTGTTACAGTGGTTATGCGTTGGGCTGCTAACCTTCAGGTTAGCAGTTCAAAACCACACGCTACAGCATGGGAAAAAGACAGGGCTTTCTACACGTGTAAAGAGTTACCGTCTCGGAAACCCACAGGGCCAGTTCTACCCTGTCCTAAACGGTCACCGTTAGTTAGAATGGACTCAATGGCGGTTGCCGTTTTGTTTTGGTATGCTGGCTTTAACAAGTCCTATGGCTGCCTTTAAAAAGTGTTTATGTGGAATATGGTGTGGGGGGCAGGGAGGGAGGAATTGGGGAGCAGACAATGAATGCGGCAGGGAGAGGGAGCACTAGAACGGATTGTGATGATGTATATACAACTCTTTTTGAAAGCAACGGAACTATGGAAATGTATGATGTGTGAATACGATATCAAGAAAACTACTGCTACTAAGAAACGGAAAGAAAGAAACCAACCTTGACCAGTGGTTACCACGAACTAAGGAAGGAGAGTTTTTGGTTAGTGGGCATTCAGTTGATGTTAATAGTGGTGGAAGAATTTGGAAAAGCATCTCAATAATGGTTGTACAAACTGACGAGTATAATCAAGGACACTAAATTATACATGTAGAAGTTGTTGAATTGGACAATATTTTGTTTTGTATATTTTTGCCACAATTGAAAAAATAATTGCATTAATAACAATGAGTATAATGAAGAAGAAAATGTTCTAAAATTTATTGTGGGAATCACAATATCTTCTTGATATGATTGAACTACTGAATTATATGCGGATGAAGTGCCAATAAAACTGATCTTATTTATTTTAATGTGTTTAGTTCGGCCTGATGACAGATTTGTAAATGATTTTTACTTAAGAAAAGAAATGTGTCTCAAGGTAGTATAATATCACTAAAGGGCCATCTTTTCTTAATCTGTGAGCCATGTATAGTTTATTCATGAATATAAATTATATTTGTCGAAAGCAAACCTTATCAAAAGCTTAGTAGTTTAGAACACTAGGTTGCTTACAGAGAAACTAATACTTTGAACTTTAAGTCATGATAATGCCTTTGATAAAAATGAGAATTTCTCTTTACCTGACTCGTTTTCCAATAAGGGACTCAAGGTATTTTTTGGCAGAAAGCTGACCCAAGAGTCTACTATAGTCACTGGTAAAAACGCCATCAGCATGTCTGGCATTCCTAAAGCAAGCAAGAAAAGATAGTTATTATCTTGTAAATGTTTTCTTCTAAAATATTTCTTTGGTTCCTTGAATAACATAAGTAACATTAAAGAAACTTAGCTTGTCATCAAAGCTTCTTATAAAATGGAAAAGATTTCCTAACAACCTAACAGAAATATTTTCTGGTCATTTTTTTCAAGATATATTCTATATTTCCAACCTAAGAATTTGAAAATAAATTTAATGGCATTTTAGGAAATATATCTCAATATTAAATAATGCTCCTAAGTAGAATCCTTAAAACAAAATTTTCTCTAAAAACTACTGCTGTAAGAATACATTGAATCTAGTTTTTTATCTTGACTTTTGTTAGTTTATTTCTTGATCCTGAATAAAATATAGGCAATAAGAAGATGTCCTGACTTTTGGTTATTTCTTCTTTGAAAATATTTGGACACAAAAATTATTAGAATAGAGAAGACTTTAGAGACTCTTGTCCAATATTTTTATACAGATCAGAAAAATTTATATTCTGTCTTCAGCATAGACATGTTGTGTCTTTGAATGTTCCAAGTCATTTCAGTAATGAATAGTTATATTAGATACCTTTCTTTACATTAAGATGAAATTCTTGCTTTAGAACCTACTCCACCGCAGAATCCTAATTGCTGTGGTTTTATTAGGATTAGAACAATTTAAAGAATGCTTTGTTCATTCCATCTCATTTCAACCTTCCTACCTGAAAATCATGTAGAATCAGTGAGGCTGCAGTAAATCCGTCTGAGTAAAGCCAAGCTACATGGAGGTTCATAGCATTATGCTAAAGAAGGAGCTTCAGGGTGATACACGCTTTGGAGTGAGACAAAATTAATCATATTTAAAAAAAATAAAAATCAACAAGCTCACCTGGCTACATCATAATAAGGTGTTTCATTTTCAGTTAACGCATCATGCAAGATTCCAGTGTCTGCCTTCAATGAAACTTGGTCAGGTTCATTTGCTCCTTCAAGTGGTGTTCTGTCACCCAACCTATTAGGGAAAAATAGAAGTGTTAATATGTGTCTTTCTGGGAAGATGCTTCTTGTGTTTTTGTAACAATTAGAAACAGGAACTCAAAATCTTAGGAAATATCGCACAGTCACGAAATAAGGATCGTGTAACTGGATTTAATGAATGTAGTTGAACTTAAGGGCCTCTGTAATTTATAAGAATACACACACAGTAGATTTTAAAATTATCTCATAACAAAGGTGCCATGTGACTTGTACTAGTTGGATATGCCAAATATCAGAACTGCTTCATTCAATTCCTATCTGAATGTTAAACAAAGTATACTTCCTTGATATATCTTCACTTTGCACAGTTAAAAGGTCTACAGGTAGATATGTTTTGGTTTCACATTTTTATATTCAATGTGAAAAATCAGAGCAATTTGAGTGTATATTTATAAACAGTGTCATTATTTTAGAGTTTCTGTTGGCCAGCTGCATTTCTCCTAATTAATTGAGTCAAAAGAACGCACCCCTCTATGCATAATTACTCAAACCCAGTCAGATTTGTGGAACCTTTTGGCTTCAGTCTTATAAGTTAATAAAATTCCAATAATGGATGTATGATGCTATACTATATGTCCAAGAATGATCATGTCTATTTAGGTAATATAACTATATTTTTGAATGCATGCACTTTTGAATATCAGAACACTATTGAAATTACCTGCATGTAGGCATGTGTGTGTGTTTGTGTGTTTACTCCATTAGGGTAAACTTCCAATGAGTGTGTCAGCTTTTAGGCCGTGGTATATCCTTTGGTCAGTAACATGCAAAGCAACTGATACAAATGTCCGCATTCTTGTGGTTGTTCATCTACCGTGGTTTAGCCACTCAAATATAAACCTTCTCTGTAGTTATCAGAGCAACATAGGAAGTCACGTTTACCTGGTGTCACAAAGAACACCACCAGCTAAGAGATTACTCACTTAACTGAGCATAGTATATCTTGAGCTGAGAATCAGGACTGGGCAAATTTAAAAAAATGATTATTTCCTCTTAGATAGAGTGGTGACCATACACCAGAAGAGAACTGGAGTTGGTGTGGTTTTCATTTACTACTTGTTTCTAAGTATATCTTATTTCAGATAAAGCTTTAAACATGAGATTTTTTATACTTTTAGAATTTAAAATATATACTATAGCATATAGATCAATGAAGCTAGAGATTTATGTTTAAACCAATTTATTATGATTTACTCATTGGGGGATGGCTATCCCAAGAAATCAATTATCTTATGGTTTTTAATATTGGCAAGTAGATTCTACCTACAGACCTCTGTCCAACATGATATGTTTAACTAACAGCATTAGTGTTATGCTTATGTAAAGTGGGATATTTCTGTTTCACCGACTGGCTTTGAAAAGAAACCATCATGAGATTGCCAGCCCAACATCTCAGTTCAGAAACTAAAGTATTTTTGAATGAAAGGAAAGTGAACTCCTTTAATCCTTGCTTAGAAACCTCACCCGTAGACTAATTACAGACACAGCCTCACATGCCCTGGAAGTGAACGTCAAGACTTGGTGACCTGATGTTGGAAAAACACTTCCTCAGCACACCAACCAAAGATGTAAATAACAGCTCACAACTTATACAGTTTCATTGTTAAAAATGACATACACGAGATTTCCCCACAGATGAAGAAGGAATGCCCCACCATTCTAAAGGCAAGAACACTCACCTCAGAGAAAGAGGTGCTGCAAAAAGTGGCCATGCCAGCGTGTGGGAGAAGAGGACACTACAGAGTGTCAGGAGCAGGAGGAGCTGGGGTTTACTTCTGGTTTCCATTTTTCACCTTCGAAAGAGAGACAGTTATGTCAGCGTCCCCGCCACAGCGCCACCAGCAAGCTGCTTCTGAATATCCAGGAACACCTTCTTAGGTCACTTGGTGAGCTTGGAGAAAGCAATTCCTATCTCACAGAAAGAGTTAAACTGTGATATGGTTACTCCTTAATTTCTGTCTGTGATGGGTGCTCAAATTAAAATTAGGGTAGGTTTTATTTGCTGCCCATCTCTCAGCAAGCACACAGTTGGCCCAGGTATGCATTGAATGTTGTATTATATTTTTGCATTGCTGGAAATTACATGGGGGACTATCTTCTTCTAACACATTTAAGCATTTAAGCTGAACTTTTGAGGCTAGAGAAACAGCTTCATGAAGTTTCTCCTATTTTTATGCTTTTCATATCTGACTAATATGAACCTGGAGTGGCATCTGTTTAATTATTCTTCTATAATAAATGTTAAATATGGGTTTATATGTCAGCACCAAAAGATTTTGCATATACATTCCCGTTTCCTCTTTTAATTATAGATAACATTAGGGATTGAGTTCCCGTTTGAGTTTTAACAACTGAGTAGCGAGAATTAATGTAAAAACTTATCATCAAACCACAGAAATATAATTTAAATAAGTTTTTCCATTAAAGAAAAGTTCTTAAAAACAAAACTAAAAATATTTAATCCATTTACAGGCTTTATTTCTAAAGAGTTTCTAGAAAGAAACTTTAGAGGTTCAAAGATTATTTCTTCTGCTGTCTGTGAAGACTTCGATATTTAAACTTAAAGAGGAAAATAAATATGTCATAGATTCAATTAACCAACACATGAAGTGGAAAGTCAACGCTTTAAAAAAATAGATTAAAAACATCTAAAACAAATACACCCAGTAAATCTTTCAGTCAAAATTTATATGCAACCAAATAAAAAGCAGTTGAATATATATTTAAAGATCAATATTCAGTAAAAAGCAGGCAGGATAAAGTATGTGGTAATTAAAAGAACTCAGAAATACCGCCATATGAGATAATTTGAAGCATGTTTATACTTACCAGGTGACTTGAAAAACTTGCCTTTTTCTGTTGCAAATGGGGAGCATTGTAAAATTCTTTTCAAGAGAGAAAAATTCAGTATAGCCTGAGAAATTTGAAGAGGCAAGAGAAAAGAGACGGAAGGGAAGATGGGAGGAAGTGCAGGGAAGAGGAAGGAAGGTCAAGTGTTCCCTTACCTTGTTGATGTTCTCAGGGAGCTTGCTCTTCCGAAGACAAGTCTGGAGCTGTCTTCGGTGCTGAAGTCCTGTGAGCGATCTCTCTGCCTTTACTGCTGAAGCAGAACTTGCACTGGCTAAGGACTTCCAGGCTTGTGAATTGCCAGCTCTGTTCTGCACTCTGACCAGCATTTCAAAGCCCCTCGTTTTATAGGGCTTAGACTTAGGGCTGAGCAATCACAAAGCTCTTCGAAAGACGTCACAGTAGCACTCTCATGGGATGAAGAGGGCTCAAAGTTCTTTTTTAATTGTCATTATGTCTGATTTATATAAATTTACGGTGATTAACTTCAAGATGTAAGATATAAAGAGGAAATTTACTTTTCTTTACACAAAATTTGTTTTTCTTTAAACAAGCTTATGTGAAATGCTTTAGTCTTTCATTTAGCACTAATGAAATAAGAGAGTGATTATAGTGTTTCAGCCAGGGCCACCGGGGTTCCTTCAGAAAATAAGAATTTCCAAGTGCAAGATCGAATACAGAAAGCAACAAGGACTTATGTTCATCTACTTATGACCGTCTAATTTTCCCATTAGTACATAGCATTAGTTCTCCACATGCTTTATTTTTATACTATTCGTGATGATCCTGATATAATCACTCTGTAGAACTATCCTCATTTTTAAAACATCTAGAAATCCTTTCAGTTTTTCTAGAACCATATTTCCCTAATATTAAAACTAACCCCAGGAAGAGAGTTCCAGTAAGTCTCTCAGAGGGTGCGATATGCACAGAGGTGTATAAAGCAGCACTGCCTCTTCACATTTGCATACAATGTTACAATTTTCTGTGCACTCTCAGATACACTATCTCAAACGATCTCAGTAATATAAGCTGTTATCAGACTACATGCTTCAAAGGGTTCATTTTTCTCCTCTGTTTAAAATTAATCTTGTCATCTTTACATGCAATATATAGAATGATTGTATTTTTCTCCTTTCCACCTACACTAACGCAGTTGGGTTTTTTCGGTCATTTCTGTGTTTGCATTCCAAAGTATAAGTGTTTGTAAGAATTTTGAAAAAGACTTCATTTCTATGCGTGAACTGTCATCTCAAAGTAGACTAGTATCGATTCAATGGGAGGTTACGGTAGAAATACAGTAATATGAACAATCTCACAAGCAAAGCAGAACCGTTTATTCACCCACACCTTACCCGAAACATCCAGTGTGTTTATTATATTCTTATTTGAAAATTCCTCAAGAGAAAATGGTTCTAAATATTCTTTCTTTCTACTACTTAAAACTGGGAACATATATGTGCTTTGTTCAAAGTCAGGCTGGTCCAGTAAAAGAATATCCTGCTATTCTTAATCATAGTTTCTAATCCAGTTTCCAGGAAAATTAAATGAATTAAATTTCAAAATGTCTGGAAATTTGTTTCCCAGTTGACAGCTCTGACTTAAACCAGAGTTCCTGTGGCTTAATTCCAGGAAATCTTTTTTTACCTGATTATTACAAACTGGAGGTTGAAAGGTTTGTCATATGGAATTTGTTATGCTTAGCTCATCGTCACTCAGTTCACAGAGAGGCAATTGTATTGATGAGCAGCAACAGCAAAAGGAGGCTGATG